TTTTGACTTTTTTGATTCATCCATTTTGTTATGTATCTAGACATATTTATGTCTAGATACATAACAAAATGGATGAATCAAAAAAGTCAAAACGACATTTATAATGAATAGGAGGGAGTATTATTTTATGTTATGACAATATTTAAACTAGCAGCTATAATATAATACTAACTAATTTTATTTTTTTTTCCGGAACGATAGAAATATTATATATCAAAACGCACAACTGTGCAAAAGCAGCCCAAGGCTGAATATTACAACCCGGAACTAAAACTGAGAGGACGGATCGAAAGATCGCCTAGAGCCTCGCTAGCAACGCTAGAATAGAAACACACAACACACAACTAAAAAACACTAACACACCAACTACGGACGCTCCCCACAGGAGAATAGAAACGCCCCCCACAGGGGAATCAGTACTGGGGCCAACGGCCCAAACCTAAAAAACAAGACCAAAAATCACGCACAAACTCAAAAACAAAACCAAAACCACACAAACTAACAAACACAAAAAGGCAAACAAACACAAAACTACCAAAAAAATGAAAACCAAGCAACTAAACTAAACGAGCCCCTCCAAGTAACACACCTAGCCGAGCCAGCGGAAACAAGGCGACTTAGAATCCCGCAGCCAGAAGAACCGACCCCGAAACTGCCCAAACCACACGGTTGCCTAACGGAGTCGAATCCCTAACCATGGAACAAAACGAAGCCACCCCGCACCACGGCCACATGACCCGAATGCCCCGAACGGACACAAGAGTGCCGCGGCCCCAGCCCCAACCCGAGACAGTATGGAAGATGTCCAAAGCCACCACACCGCCACATCCCTACTCCTACCGACACCACCGGTAAAAGAATGGACGCGTCGACCCCTGCCAAGGCAAGAGAAGATGACCAGAACCATCAACAACGCCCCAATCGCACAACCAGGAAGGTCACCGAATTGAGTCGCGTTCCACCCCTGGAACCGCACCACGGCTCCACCACCACTCAACGGAGGAGCCATCACCCCGAATTGACAAGCCGTCGCCGTAGAAGACGCAACCCTAACGCCGAAGATGAAGCCCGACTCCATGGATAACAGATGGTAGAGCGAAAATTAGAGTGTATAAGCCAAACTGTCAAGGGTCGGCGACCGCCGGCGCAGCTCCATGGCCACTATGGAAGGCTGACGGCGGTGAATCTGAAGAAACGAGGAGGGGTTATTTTTTGGGGACGAGGGTTTAGAGAGGCCAATACTAACTAATTATAAATATATAAAAATTACTTACCAAAAAAGATATTGTATTTTTTTCTTCAAGCTATTATTCTAATATTAATATCGTATTTTCCTTCTCATTTAGATATTTTTTTTTTTAAAAAAAAAAGCTAATTCATTTTAATGAGATAACTAAAATCCCTTAAAGTCACATATTTATTATTATTATTATTATTATTATTATTATTATTATTATTATTATTATTATTATTATTATTATTATTATTACTATTATTATTATTATTGTTATTGTTATTATTATTAATTGTCAGACCATTCACAGGTCACGATATCCCAAAATAATAAATCACAATTTATGTCATAACTATTGTTATTGTTGGGGAAAATAGATTTCAATCGGACTCCTTCAAATCGAA